TTGTTTCTTTTGTTCAATAATGAAGCAGGAGGATCTAATTTGTTGGTTGCTTTGATTTTGCTATCTCCATTCCGAGTGTAAGAATTTTCTTTTCTCTCTGCTGCACTTTCTCTTTCTTGTTTAAGTGAACGATTCCTGGATCTTCCTCTTTTGTTGAAGGCGAAACTGTTGGCTTCTTCTTTTATACCGTCTGTTGAACCCCATTCTAGTCTTGTATTGTAGTAATACATTTTTTTTGCCAGTGTTGCTAATAGCTCTTCTTTTGATTTAAAAACCACAGATGCTGTGCTTCTTTGATTTTTGTTCCGGTTGTGCGAAATATACACTGCATGCGCTCTGACTGGCTTTAATTGTTTTAGCAGCATAGTTTCGAGGGCTGTCTTTGGAATATTTTTTAAATTTGCTTTAAATCTTCCTCTTTTATCTAGAATGGATCTGTTGAATGCCCCTTCTGATAATCTTATCATCTTACCCTCTTCAAAATGTACAGCCCAGGCATTTATAAACATAGCTTTTCTTCTTTTGTTCCAAAAAGTTATATTGAAGGAGACGGCTTTCTTTGTTCCTACAAATTCCCAGTATTTAAATTGTACTCGACTATAAAAATGCAAACATCTTCGTACTCTCATTGCTTTAACTTTTGCTGGTATGTCCTAAAGAGTATAACAGATTTTTGGAGCCTCTGTATCTTTGTCTCTGTCTTTTATAGTTTCTATAATACCTATCTTCGGAGTATTGTCTTGGGTATCCTCATTAGTAGATTTAACAGGCAGTGATTCTGTACTGTATACTTTAGGTATATCAAATAATTTGACTATATCATCTTCTTTTTTGCAGGTTTTCTTGATTTCCCTTTTCTTTTCTATTGGGCTCGCACTTCTTTTTCTTGTTTAGACGTTAGTTTTGAACTGTTGCGACTTTAATTTCTCTTGTATACCATAATCTGACATGCCGCATTCCTGGTTAACTAATATCTCCTTTCTTTTTTCGCTTTCATTTGAGTCTATTAGGTCTAATAGTCGAGCATTCTCCCCATTTTTGATTCTCAGATACTCTAATCAGTCATAAGTTTCAATTAAACATCTAAACAAGCATATTAGTTGTGGCTTGGCTCCTACAAAAGCCGCTATTTCATTGTCTTTTCTAAGATATTCTACTAAGTGCTCCTCTTTGAGCATATTAAAATCATCTGTTAATTTTTTAAAAATGTTCTTATACTTGTTTATCTTGTGCCTCTAGTCTATCTCTGTAACTTCTGGCTGCTCAGTATTCATTTTGTGCACGTGACTCATATTAACAAATATTGCTATAGCT